CAACGGGGAAATGATTCGAATCAAGTGTAAAATATGAATCGAATCAAATGACCATGTTTCGCCTCTATACAATTTGATCCGAATAAAAAATGTGTGTAAACTCAATGATTCAAATCAAACATGTAAAATTTTTATTTTTAAAATTTTTAAAGGCACTTTGAGATTCTACTTTGAATCAAACTTTAGTCAAAAACATAAAATGTTTTCATTCCACTTACACATGCAATTGATCAAAGAACATCATGATCAAGATCAAATCTAACCAAAGTTTTATGCATGCTAAAAGTAAATCTTTTCAAACTGGATTCCGAGAAGTACAATCATGAAAGAGACTCAACAAATCGAAATTAAATCAAAGATGAAAGCAATAAGACAATCAACAAAACTGAATATAGATGTTCCCCCTGAATTAAGTAGGGTCATGCAACTACAATCTGCCTTTTTTTATGCTCTGTAAGCTTTCACTTGGAACTGAGCCGACTTTGAGTATAACTCATATGCTCCCCCTGAAACATTGCACACAAACTACTCAGAGCATAAAATATGCATAAAACAATTCTAGACTCATTACAATTTCTCCCCCTTTGACAACATCAAAAATAAATAGTTCGGAATGCGTCTAAAACCAAGAAAACAATCACCAATCAAATAATTCCAATGAACATAAGAGCTAAATATCTAAGAAGCATATACAATAACAATGATCTCATATTAAGCACGAAGATAGACATGTCACAAGCAAAAAAATGCAAATAGACATGGAACACCAACATTTAACAACTAACAATTAAATTATCAAACTTGTAAATCAAGGTATGCATTAACAAACATAAATAATGCATGAACAAGTATGCAAATGCTCAAATGCACATAATTAGCAACACGCATTTAAAAGACTTAAATGAAAATAAGAACAATCTGAGACATAAACTAGAGATGAATGAGTAAGATATGGAGGAAATAAGAAAACAAATGCATAACTCTAGAACAAATACATAGAATGATATAAATCACGTATAACAGTTGTAGAGACATACCATTGTAGTTTGGTAAAAACTATAATTTGTTACAAAATAGTGTTAGTGAAAACAAAATGTATATAAAAAATGAAACTAAACAAAGAACCTTCATTCTAAATATGTCAGCAAGCTGACTTTTAATGTCAACGTACTAAAAAACAACATCCCCTTTTTCCACATGATCTCTAAGAAATGTTTATGAATCTCAATGTGTTTGATCCGTGAATGTAGTACCAGATTCTTAGTAAGACTTATACCACTAGTATTATCGCACTTAATCGGAAAGCAACCAAGTTTTAAATCATAGTATAATAATTGTTAATTTAACCATAAGACTTGTGCACTAGCCCTGGCGTTAGAAAGAGCAACACTATGTTGCTTCTTATTATTTCAAAAAACTAAACGGTTCCCATATAAAGGACAAGTACCACTAGTACTATTCCTATCTAACTCTCACCCCCACGAAATCAAAATCAGAATAGCCTACTAAGCTACAAACACTTCCTTTTGGATACCAAAGACTGTGATCGGAAGTTCCATTAAGATACCTCAAAGTATGTCTAACGATCTTAAAGTGGGAATCCTTAAGAGATGTTTTATATCTAACACACAAGCACATACTAAACATGATATATGACCTACTTTCGATTAAATAGAGTAAGGATCTGATTATACCTTTATATTTGGTTACGTCAAAATCCGCTCTTCTTTCATCTTTGTCAATAAACACATTTGAAGCCATTGGTGTTAAGATACTCTTTGAATTTTTCATCTCGAACTTCTTGAGAAGCTCTAAATAATATTTTGTTTGACTTATGAAAGTTCCTTTTTCGCCTTGATTTATTTGAAATCCTAAGATGTATGTTAGTTCTCCCATAAGAAACATATCAAACTTCCTCTGCATCAAACTAGCAAATTTTCGACAAAGAGATTCATTAGTAGACTAAAAAATGATATCATCTACATAAATTTGAACTAAGAGAATATGATTTTCCTTATGTATTATAAACAAAGTGGTGTCGAATTTCTCACAATTTAGTCATTATTTGATAGAAAAATCCACTCAATCGCTCATACAAAGATCTAGGAATTTGTTTGAGACCCTAGAGGGTTGTTTTCAACTTGAAAACATGATTAGGATTATCGTGATCCACAAAATTCGAAGGTTGTGAGACATACATCTCTTCGTTTATATGGCCATTTAGAAAAACATACTTAATGTCCATTTGGTAAAGCTTAAAGTCCAGGGAGCAAGCAAATGCCAAAAAGAGTCTAATAGCTTTAAGAGGGTCTACAAGAGCATAAGTTTCCTCGTTGTCTATTCCTTCAGCTTGATTATATCCCTTTGCCATTAACCTAGCTTTATTTCTAGTAATAACACCATTTTAATCCATCTTTTTCCTAAATACCCATCTCATGCCTATGACAGTTTTATCAACCGAATGCGGAACAAGGTCCCAAACGTCATACGTTTAAATAGAACTTGTTTTTCTTGCATAGCAAGTAACCACCCCCCATCAAGTAAGGCACCAAATATAATTTTTAGGTTCAATCTGAAAAATGAAAGAGGATTACTTGCATAAATTATTAACCTGTGACCTAGTACTTACTCCCTTTTTGATGTCTCCCAGAATTTGATCTAACGAATGATCATTTACGATTGTTCAATCACGAGGCAGCTAGTTCGAGGTCTCTTGTTTTTCGTCCTCATGTAAGCTTTATGTTTTATCTTCCGTAATCTCATTATCCATTATTGAAGGAGTTTGATCCTCTTTGAAACACCCATCTTCGATCAATCTTACTGTTATTATACCTGAAATATCAGAACAAGTATCGTCCCCCGATTTTTTAGGCAAGGACTCATGAAAAGTAACATGAATTTACTCTTCTACAAAAGCAGTTCTATGATTGTCAATCCTATAAGCTTTACTCGTAGACGAGAAAATAAATCTCCTATTTAGATCTTGACTTGTATACAACATACTTGTCAAACTCTTCTACGTAATCTTTACTCGAATTACGTTTCTTGAATCTTCAAATATCACCAATTCTACTCTAAGCCTTCGTGTGTGTCAATCAACCCCTTGATCCTACCAATTCCTTGAGCGGTGTATTGTCCGAAGATTTGAGAAGAACTATGTCTTATCCGCAGCCTTCCAGACTGTCACTACTAAGGAAATTCTACAGAGAATAACCTACTTCTTTTCAATGGAATTTGTCACCACCATTGACAATCATAGCAATCTTGCTAACAACCTGAAACACTCAACAAGATCTCCAAGAACGATTAGTTTCAAGGACGCGTCTCCTTCAGTCAATTACATAACTCTCGTTATCAAGATCTGAACTCAATTGAAGTTGAAGATGCAAAAATTTCGTTGCAAGACTTTGAACACTCAAAACAGAGAAAATTTGGTTTTCATTAAAATCACACTGAAAAATTATGATCATAATGATAGATGTTATGTGAGAAATGATGGCAATAAGCTTTTATGTTGGTTGAGATTAAGCACACAAAATAGTTGAAAAGTCAGTTAGATTTGAATCAAGAGCAAACTATGATATGAATCAAATAAACAAGTGAAGTGGAATAAAAGGAAAACAAATATTTGAAAAATCTGTCAATTGATTTAAATCATGGAAATAGTGATTTGAATCATGAGTCACATGATTTGAATCATGTGCAAAATTGATTTGAATCAAATGTCACAACCTCGATAGAAAAATATTGAAAAAGTGAATGATTCGAATTATATTTAAAATTTGATTCAAATCAAATTAAACAGAAGTTGACATCAGAAAAATGATTCGAATCAAGTGTAAAAAATAATTTGAATCAAATGACTAGGTTTCGCCTCTGTCCAAATTGATCAGAATAAAAAATTGTGTAAACTCAATTATTCGAATCAAACATGTAAAATATCAAATTTTCAAATTTTTAAAGGCACCTTGAGATTTTACTTTAAATCAAACTTTAACTAAAAACATAAAAAGTTTTCATTCCACTTACACATACAATTGATCAAAGAACATCATGATAAAGATCAAATCTAACCAAAATTTTATGTATGCTAAAAACAAATCTAATCAAACTTGATTCAAGTGTAATCATAAAGGAAACTCAACAATTCAAAATTAAATCAAAGATGAAAACGATAAGACAAGCAACAAAATCAGATATAAATGATCCCTTTGAATAGTTTTTCCATTCCGTAAGAGCCAAAGCTAAGTCCAGAAATTACCATCTGATCAGTGCATAATGATAAACTTTTTAATGAATAGACATCAAACGTAAAAGAGAAAGAGGATACAAGTGTTTTTTTTCTTTTTGGAATATATATATATATATATATATATATATATATATATATATATATATATATATATATATATATATATAATAGCATGAAACTGAACCTATGTTAGATGATTTTTGTGAGATATAGTTTTCAATGCTTTTGAGGTTTTCTTTTGACAGGTGAAGAAATATGCACAGAAATGTGTAATATATATATATATATATTACACATTTCTGTGCATATTTCTTCACCTGTCAAAAGAAAACCTCAAAAGCATTGAAAACTATATCTCACAAAAATCATCTAACATAGGTTCAGTTTCATGCTATTACATTTATTTCTCAATTTCTATGCCATAATAAATGTCTCCACTTTGATTAATTTTTGGTTGAAAAGCAACAGAAAAAAATTTAAAATGAGAAATATTGATACAAATAAGCAAATACAGAAATAGAATTCCAGCAAAACTTTTCACAGAAACAAGTAGGCCAGTGATTAAGAGAATTATTCACTCAGAAGATCAGAAACTATGAAACAACAAACAAATAACAAACTTCTAATCTGTTCCCAGTTGATAACTAGTTCACAAAACCACGAATTTCCAATTGATTGAAAACCGCAAATAAAAATAAATTCCAAATCTAACACATTTTCGTATACGGTAGGATGTTTCCGAAGATGTTTATGTCAATAATCGCTTGATGCCGGTCTTCTGTTCTGATGTAAGTCTAGACGGAAACTTTACGTTGAACTTGATTCTCAAGTTTCCCTTTTTGGAAGGTTCTTTAGGAATCGGCATACCCTCTCCTTTAACAACTTCTTCGTACGATGGACTGATAATGGTGTTGACGGGGACCGTAAGATTCCTTCCGTCGAGGGTTGTTATTTGCGCTGTGTAACCTGTCAGAGCTTCTACGAGAGTGACCTTCTGAGTGACTACAAGATCGTTTCCATCCCTCTTGAAGACGCTATGAGGCTTCTCGTCGATGATAAAAACAAGGTCGGCGGGAATAAGTCCTTTTTGTTCATTTCCCTTTTCGGGAAAAGTTATTTTTGTTCCTTTCTTCCAACCTGGCTTGATCTCAATGGTTAGAATTTCCTCTACTGTGGTAGGCCTCCTACAGAATAAGAAAACATCAAGAAATATGCATAGAGATTCGACAAAGTTATACGGTAATTGTCGACCGCCTAACACAATTCTCTCCTTTTATCTGGACTTGGGACCGGCTAAGCATTAAAAGAAATATTTTTAATGAAACAGCACATAGAAACTGCATATACATCAAAGATCTCAAGTCTCAAACCATCGCAATCACTTATTACTGGTAAATTGCTTATTAGGAGCAAATATAACTGCAAATGTACACTACGAAAATGAAAACGAACATCGACCAATAATACTATTAAGCACCAAATAGACACGAATACCGGATACAACACTTATGATATTAGAAAATAGAGGAAACTAAATTAACTACATGTGTATGTGTGCGTCAGGTTGGTGTTGAACTGACACTGATTTTGTCTTTGCAATAACGGCTACCCCGCTGTTTGCAATTCTGCTATAGCATTTTAGGGGGTCGGTGCTACGCAACACTATCTGATATTAACAACATAGATCAACACATAACAAAAGAGAGTCGTCAAACCAAACTTTGAATTCAAAATTCTAAATATGTGCAATAAAACGAACGTGGCTAGGCTAATATAGGCAAAAATTGAAAGCTCACCCACTAGAATCAGAAACATCCCTAGAAATCTTCATTTTTTTCGTGGTCCCTTTATACAAATCCTCCAAACCGCAAGGCAGTGTTCTCTCTATCGGCGCACTTTTTCTCGGCACGTTGCCAGATCCTTCACCAGCTGTTGCATTCCTTAAAGACGAGAAAATGTCATCCCTAAACATTCCCCTCGGAAAGCCGGACGTACCAGGATGACCGCCCATACCACCCATATCGCCCATTCCACCAAACGGTTTTGCAAACCCAAAGAACTCTGAAAATATGTCATCAGGACTTCTCGGATTGAACCGGAACGTCGTCGGTCCACCATCGCTGGCTTCTGAAAATCCACCTGCACCAGGAGGAGGCATCTGCCCCTTCAACCCCTCCTCACCATACTGATCATACACAGCTCTCTTTTGTGGATCACTCAAAACCTATTCAAAAATCAACGATTCCAAAATGATTCTAAATTACAAGAAAACAACAATCAAACACCCAACATTTCAAATTATAACCCCAAAACACCCCCACAATCCCTAATAATCATAATACACAAAATCAAACATCCCATCATTCCAAATTCCAAATTGCACCCCCAGAATTCCAAATGATTCTAAATCAAAACAAAAACACAAAAATCAAACACCCCATCATTCAAAACCACAACCCTAAAACCCCATAACTCCAAATGATCCAAAATCACCATAAAAACACAAACTTTAACAACCCAAAACCCCAAAAACAAAAACATTTCACAACCCAACAACATTACATAAACTAAACCGAAAAAAACACAAATTGGGATTGCATGAAAATAAACAACATACATCATAAGCTTCTGAGATTTGCTTGAATTTAGCCTCAGCATCTTTTTTGTTGTTAGGGTTCTTATCGGGATGCCATTTCATAGCAAGTTTGCGATAAGCTTTCTTGAGATCGTCCTCTTTGGCATTACGATCTACCTGAAGGACTTTATAGTAATCAACACCCATATCTTTGTTTCTCCGATTTGGTTTTGTTACCGGAGAGAAGGAACAATGTGAGTCACCGGTGGAAAAAGAATGAAGTGAAAGAAAAACAATATCCGAAGATATCTGGGCTCAACAAAAACACAAAAACATGTACTTGTGATGTCACATAGTATTTGCTAGGATTAGGATTAGGCCCAACTTTATCTATCATGTTTCAATTGTTGTTTCATGGTTTTTTTTTTTTTTTTTTTTTTCTCTTTCTTTTTAATTAAAATAAAAAATTAGTTAATTAGTATGTGAATTTTGAAATATCTGAAAATTTTAAATGCTTCAATGAACTAAAAAAATAAGTTGAAGTTGTATGTACTTGTATTCTTGAATTTGTTAGTGATTTAAATTTATGTCCTTATTAAACTTTCAAATGTGTTAATTTTTTTTTATTGGAAGCATATGTTAATTTACCTTTAAATGATTTATGATTAAATTTATAAATTTAATAAATTCAATACTAATTTTATTTAAAAGTTCTAAATTTTATCTATTATTGTAGAAAGAAAGGAATTTTATCTACTATTAATATAAATTTAATTTTCTTTTTTAATTTTCACAATTATATGAATTATGCATTTTGATTTACTCTTTTTTTTTAATAATATTTTTAATTAAAACTTTTAGAATTTTTTATAATATTTACCGTAGGCATATTATGAACCGCTTATACATACGGCAATTTGCCGTAGATACAACAAATTGTATGTAAAAAAGTAGATTTTTACATACGATAAAGTGTCGTAAGTATAAGTGGTTCAAGATATGCCTACGGTAAATAGACTTTTACCTACGCTTTTTGTTGTTATTATAAGCATGCGTCATTTCAATTGACGCCTATGTACAATTTTATAGTGCATGCGCCAATTTGAGTGTCGACTCCAATTTTTTTTGTTTGGAAATTGGTTATTTTGGTATATAAATTGAAAAAGATGGTTATTTAAAAAAAATCTCTTCATGATAGATACTTTGAAAGTTATCTCTATCTTATGACTTGCAACAATTTAGTAAATCGTCAATCAGGTCAATTTTTATTTATTAATTTATTTTTTATTACGAGTTTATTTTTTCCGTTCTTCAGCAATCCATAAAGATAATTTTTCTTAACAGAGAAATCGAAATAACCATTAGTGCAAATTGAAATGAGACTTGATTAAAAAGACAGAGAGGAGAAGAAGAAAACAAATGAGTTTTAAACGACCAAAAAGAGTTAAAGTCAAACAACACAATGCAAGATCCACCAGTACCTCCCTCCTCTTCTTAAAGCTACTATGAGACTATGGTGTACGTACAACCAAAGGTAACTAATTGACTATTTTTGAACACCCTGTAACCGCTACTAATATCAAATTCAAACCATCAAAACTTCTCCAATTGGAACAATAGAAGTCCTTAGGAAGGATAAATAAAGGTGCCAACAAGCACTTAAATTGCTTCCTCACCATATGCATAACTATTAAGGTAGAACGACATACTAAATAAATTGTGTGTATTAGCGGTGAGTTTAATAGAGATGACTAAGGGCAACTTGACCTAACTCTTTATATAGATATTTATAGATTGATCATTTTCAAAAGTGTTTAAATCTTTGACTATAATAACGACCATATGAAACTTGACTCCTACCCACTAGGGAGTATGATGGGTGAGTCATCCATCTAATATAAGAGACATGGTTAGTCCACTCAGTAAGACTTGAGACTATATGGTAATGACAAGAATATTCGTGTTGGTCTTGAGGAACGTGCTTGATGAGTCATCTTCTATAATACAGGGGTCATAACGAGCTCTCTTATTGCATTTGATACATGCTTGACTTTGCCTAATATATTTTTAGTCCTTTTTGTATATTTTATGAGGTAAAAGGAGAATGAGAAAAGATTATTGATACTTAATGGACTTGGGTCATAATATAACAATCCACATCCCCTTAAACACTATGAATTTAAGGGCGAAATGGTTAAGGGAGTACATAAAAAGTCCATAATCCCTCAAATACAAGGCCTGAAAGGGCGAAGTGGTTAACATAGGACATAACAATCCATAGTCCCTCAACCATGAGGCATGTAAGGGGGAAGTGGTTAAGGGAGGATATAGTTTTCCATGTGTGAGGAGTTTACAAAAATACAAATCTTATGTGATGAAGACTAGTTTTAATATAAACCATTTGATTGGTGAAGACAGATCAATCTGTTGATCAAAATTTTGTAGGAAATCCCTTGAATTTCTAACTAAAGTTGTTATGGTCAAGTTGACTTGGGAAGGGGCATTAAATTTGGAACTTCCATTGGTTTTAATGTTTGAGAGTAAATCCCTTAATCGCTTGACATGCTAATGATTACTACAAGGCTAAAGGGCTATTCATTTTCTATAAATACTAAGACATTTGCACACCATTTTCATTGTTTTTTCTTGTACTAACTCAAACATCATTTTCGCTTTGAAATTTCGTTTCTTTCTTTGAACCCAACTTTTCTCAACAATGTAAGACGCCTTACCACATGTATTCCTTCATCCCCTTTATCATACTTTTTTTCCTTTTTGTACTTAAAAGATGATGTTCTTTAGGGATTTTGATGTGAGTGATAATGTCATTAAGCCTAACACTCAAGAAGATGAAGAGGACTACATCGTCAATGTATTAAGTGTTCAAGGCAAGCAGATGGTAGAGTGTATTAGAGATTCATTGATATATAAATTTTTGGGAGGTATAATATTAGTTATAGTAATTATGATAACAACACATTAACGACAGTGATGTTGTTTTGGTCTTTTCTTACCCAAGACTGGCGAAGCACTATAGATGGAGGTTTCGCAGAAAAATTTGAATCTTTGGTGAAATAAAGTAGTTCATGCAAAATCTCTATTCATAAATGAAGCAAGAATACATGTGTTTTATGGAGATATGGTGATATCTTCCATTGGAACTGAAGAAAATGTCATCCTATAGTGATAAATGGGAGGCGAGCATGCATGTATGAGACCGCTACACGGTTAATACTTTCAGATGCATGCATGTGTGTTGTCAAATTTAGGGGTGGAGTTTCCCTTAACCTCCTTTAAGGATGATGTGTTACAAGAAATAAATGATTCCCATTTGCAACTTCATCCAATAATTGCATTTTTGTGAGAGGTTTTGAGATCATGAGTGGCATTTTGGATATCATTCACATTATAGGTTGCTTTTTTTCCTTCTACGAGATGGGAAATTAAAAAGTTAAAGTTGATTTCCTTAAGTGTCTTCTTAATAGAGGGTTACTTTCCTTCTACTCTTTAAATTATAAGAATTGGAAAATCAAACTTTTTTGAGTTATAGGGATTAAAAACTATCTTGAAGTCATTTTTGATGATAAATGGAATCACAAGTTTTCACATCAAGCTTATTAACAAGGTGAAAACTCTTGTTTTCAATGCTATCATATCCTTTTTTTCCTAAAAATTACAAGTCGGAGGATTTCCTCATCAACTATTTTATAATTTCAAGGTCTTTGACTTTTTTTTCAAGGATCATATGTGGAACCTTGTTTTGCAGATGATGTGCTTTTAACAAGAACAATAACTTTTGGCACTGGAAATTATTGTCTAATGATGACAACTGATGGTGGCAAGTCAAGAATAAACATCAGTATCAATAATAGCAATCAAAGGTGTATTATTAATATAACATATACATATGATCAACCTGTCATTACTGGAAGTCTGAGTTCCTGACAGATCAAACATTTTTCCTTTAGTCGAAGCTTGCTTCGACTTCTGGCAACAGGTAGTGATATGTCCATGTTCTCCACAGTTGTAGCAAGTCACCACATTAACTTTGCAGTCAGTAATCATACGTCCGGACTTCTACACTTGTAACACTTCTTCACATCACTCTTGCACTCACTAACATGATGACCTAATTCACCACATTTGTAGCACTTAAAAGGAGCGAGAGCACCTCCCCCACTTGGCCTCTTATCATCAGCAACTCTCTATTTACCTTTATCAGCTGGAGCATTGTAAGGCTTCCCACGATTCACATTCTGCTTTCCCTTCTTCTTACTTAGACTCTTATAATGAGTTGACCGACCTTTTCTATTCTCCTCATAAATTCTACAGCTATCCACCAACTCTAGAAATCTCCTGATCTGTCGATATGCAACTGCCTGCTTGATCTCAGGACGCAAACCATTCTCAAGCTTGACACACTTTGAGAACTCAGTAGTCGCCTCACTATAATGCGGATAGAACTTAGAAAGTTCCATAAATATGGCAGCATACTCAGTAACAGTCAGATTACCCTACTTTAGCTCCAAAAACTCAACCTCCTTCTTCCCATGAACATCCTCAGAAAAGTACTTCCTCAAGAACTCCATACGAAACATACCCTACGTAACAACTTCACCTGACGTCACTAACACCTGACGAGTGTTGACCCAATAGTCATCATCCTCCCTAACTAGCATATGAGTACCAAGCCATACCTTCTGCTCTTTAGAAAAATTCATCACTCGAAAGATCCTTTCAATCTCCTTGAGCCATGCCTGGTTTCCATCCGGATCATACCTACCCTTGAAAATAGGCGGATTGTTCTTCTGGAAATTTCCCAAGTGACAGAACTCATCATTCTCACCAGCATTAGGCTGATTCTAAATATCCTGAGCAACAACCTGCAAAGCAGCAACAATAGCAGCATCGTTCCTTCTAGCCATTTTTATTTTTCCTCCATAAACATTAACTATGGTTAGAAGACAACAAAGACAGTATTCAAGTGTCTCAACACTACGACTCAACAACTTGGTCAGACAGAACGACTAGTACTTACACCACTAATTAATACCCCAAATATACCCCGAGCAATTTAAAAATAAATCAGAGTATTTTCATCAAAATATATTCAGGATGTCACACAATTCATACTACAACTGCTCATATAACTAGATATGTAACACATGCAATTTATTTAAAATTACTTATAATAACTATAACAATTC